CCGCCAATCACTCTCTCAGAACCCTTGACTTCGATGACTATGATAGTTGGACCTCTTTTGCTACATCTACGTTGGAATTCTTTGACATCGTCTAGTCCATCACGATCTCCACGCATTAACAACCTGAATTCGTAGGGACTCTTTCCAAACGGGTAAGGTTCTTTTTTCTTGTCAATCCACGAAGCCAACTGTTCAAAATGTTCCACTCCGATGATATTTGAATCGAAGTATTTTCTGCGTGGGACTACAATTTTTGCTCCTTGTGGAGGCATACTTAAGACGTGGAACTTAATTAGGTCATCCTAAGGGCGACAAAGATGCACCTTTTAACTTCGTGCATTCAAAACCCATTTACTGCAAAACTATAAATACATATTAAATGTTTAACTGACCTTTAACTTCTTTGGAAGAACCTTCTCGTAAGGCCAAATCTTTTCAATAAATTCAGGACCAGGAATAGCGAAAAATCGGATATGAGGAATAAATGCGGCTATATTTTCTTCCAACTCAAGAAAATCTTCTGGCGTCCATTCCGAGATGTCTTCATCAAGTCTAGAGCTTCGAGCGATTCCCCACTTAATTACATTTTCCCAGATTTCAACTTCTTCCATGTTGAACAAATCTTTCTTCAAGAGGTTTACTAAAATGTATTGATCCAAATTTGCAAGGACTTCCTGTTTAAAAAATTCATCTGGATTTTGGCAAACAAGTTCTTCACAATGGGAATGTAAGAGGCGGCAGGCCTCGTGGCGAGAAGATATACGAAGAAATTCGACAAGGTTTCTACGCAATAACTCTGACTCTTTTTTGATAATATGTGCTTGGATGTAGTCGATTAAATCGGTGAGTGCAAGCTCGTCGGCAGCAACAATGAGCAAGATGTAATTAATACGAATATTCATTTCTTCCAAAGGGATGCTTCCCGTGTAAATATACCTGATATTGATTGATGTTTCAATTAATAAACAAAAATTACGATAATCCGAGATGTCTATAAATCCCGAACACACAACGCCAACCCCGTAAATAGTCCCCACATCCACTTACTTCAATATAGCATCGAAAACGATAGGGGAAATATTGGGCTTTCTCAAGGTGATCATGTTGCCGTCAGTCTTTGCCCAAATCTCTGATAGAGCAGCTCGAAAATAAGCGGATCGAGTTCTTAAGATTACTGAATGAGCACGGAACATCTGTATGTTTGGTTCTTGACCAACATAGATTTGAACATTGTAGTCATCGGCATTTTGATAAAGTTGACCGATATTCGTTAGCAAAATCTTCTCTAGATTCGATACCATGTTTTCGAAGAAATCAAGGTGAAATGTGAAACAGAGGAATTAATTTGAATAGCCTGTTTCTTTTAATAAATCATTTACATTACTTAATATAGAAATATTAAAGCAGATCATAAGAATTTCATATTTTATAATAATATTTATAATA